TTTGAAAAATATCTTCTCTTTAGAATTGTCTCTTGTCTTTAGCCATTTAACAAATTCTCTGAACAAGTTGCCTTCTCAACTCTTCAAATACATGCACATGATGAGAAATTTATGACCAGGACTTGTACAATGATATGGAAACTCTGCCTTTTAAGTATTTTGGGGGCATAGTATCAGCAAAAGTTGTACATTTCCTTTTATCTATGTATGAATAATGGCGCTTCATTGATTTTGTGGTTTCATTTGTGAAGGAACTAATCTTGATCTTCCTGTCTCCACCTTTTATAACTTTTTCATAACATAGCTCAAGGTGGGATTATATGACAGATGAAATTACAAAGAAAGCAGTAATGAAGACATTAGTTATTCTGTAAGGTTTGGTTTGCTGCAGAAGCTTTTAAAAGCACAGCTGACTCAACTATGAAAAATGAGGTATTCTGAATATTTCTTCCCTCTGGTACTTTTGAGGTGAAAAATTAAAAAAAATTAGCATAGCCTTGTTTGTTTAAAGAGTGAATAATAGTAATTTTGTAAGTGTATTTGACTAAAAATGTGGTTAAATAAATAATAGAGAAAATGCTGCTTCATGCAGCTTTTTTTTCAGGGCATGATGAAAAGGTTGATTAAACTTTCAGGTTGTTCACAATTCCGAATTTTAAAAATGCTTATCAAAAATTTGATGTTGTCTAGCTTGTCTTCTTAGTGGTCTTCCTTTGGTATTGAAGATAATTGTGAACATTCATCTCCTTTGTATTTTGGTCAATTAGCAAAAAATCCGGAATTAGAATCTTCTCGTAAATGACCTTAGCCGCTTACTTTGGCCAGGCTGAATGGATATGAATAGTATTTGCTATGGAGGAAGTTTGCTAGTATTTTGGAGACACGATTTGTGTTTGAAAATTGATTACAAAGCCCTTATCTTTACCATTTTTCTGATACTAATTTTCATGTAGATTCAATATGGGGAGACTTCCCCCCACCGTATGTGATTAATTCAGAGGCTGTGACCCATTCACTTCTGAGTTCACTGCATTTCTATTTTATGCTAATGTGTTTTGTATCAGATTTTTGGGTAGTGATATGGAGAATGGACTGATGAGGCACAAAATAAGATATAAGGAGACTGGATAGGACGCTACTGCTGACTGGTTAGGATGCTAGCCAAAGAAGGTCAGAGGTTTGAACAAATATAGTGTCAGTAAGGATGAGTTAATAAAATAATGTTTATTTATTGAATGCTTCCTGTGTGCTATGCACAGTGCTCTGTACTGTTCATGGACTGTTGTGTTTAATACTCGCCCTGTCCCTGTGGTAGCACCCTGGTGGCTCAGGAGAAAAGAATCCTCCTGCCAATGCAGCTGTTTGATCCCTAGGTCAGGAAGACCCCCTGGAGAATGAAATGGCAACCCATTCCAGTATTCTTGGGCTTCCCAGGTGGCACCAGTGGGGCCTAGGAAATCCCGTTGACAGAGGAGCCTGGTGGCCTGCCGTCCACGGGGTTGCGAAGAATCAGACACAGTTTAGCAACTAAACATGCACACACAGACACACACACGTCCTTATGAAGGAATATTCATCCCCATTTACAGAAGAGAAAAATGAGGTATAGAGAGGCTAGACAACTTATGTTACGCAGTCAGAAAATGGTAGAGCTGTAACTTGGCTCCAGAACCTAGGGAACTCAACTTCCATCAGTTTAGTTCATCAGTCGCTCAGTCGTGTCCGACTCTTTGTGACCCCATGGACTGCAGCACGCCAGGCCTCCCTGTCCATCACCAACTCCCGGAGTTTACTCAAACTCATGTCCGTTGAGTCGATGATGCCATCCAACCATCTCATCTTCTGTCGTCCCCTTCTCCTCCCGCCTTCAGTGTTTCCCAGCATCAGGGTCTTTTCCAATGAGTCAGTTCTTTGCATGAGGTGGCCAGAGTATTGGAGTTTCAGCTTCAACATCAGTCCTTTCAATGAACACCCAGGACTGATCTCCTTTAGGATGGACTGGTTGGATCTCCGTACAGTCCAAGGGACTCCTCAAGAGTCTTCTCCAACACCATAGTTCAAAAGCATCAATTCTTCAGCACTCAGCTTTCCTTAGAGTTCAACTCTCACATCCATACATGACCACTGGAAAAACCATAGCCTTGACTAGACGGACCTTTGTTGTCAAAGTAACATCTCTGCTTTTTAATATGCTGTCTAGGTTGGTCAAAGCTTTTCTTCCAAGGAGCACACATCTTTTAATTTCATGGCTGCAGTCATCATCTGCAGTGATTTTGGAGCCCCCCCCCCAAATAAAGTCTGTCACTGTTTTCATTGTTTCCCCATCTATTTGCTATGAAGTGTAGGGACCAGATGATCTTAGCTTTCTGAGTGTTGAGTTTTAAGCCAACTTTTCACTCTCTTTCACTTTCATCAAGAGGCTCATTAGTTCTTTGCTTTCTACCTTAAGTATGGTGTCATCTGCATATCTGAGGTTACTGATATTTATCCAGGCAGTCTTGATTCCAGCTTGTGCTTCCTCCAGCGCAGCGTTTCTCATGATGTACTCAGCATATAAGTTAAATAAGCAGGGTGACAATATACAGCCTTGAATACTCCTTTCCCGATTTGAAACCAGTCTATTGTTCCAGGTCGAGTTCTAACTGTTGCTCCATGACCTGTCATCCTCAATACAACAGACAAATGCTTAAGAGGTAGAGTTTAGCCACTAATTAGAAGCAGAGAGGGTCCTGGTGGAGAGCTCAGGTGTAGCTCTTTGGATTCTGAATTGGGCACCCTAGTGAGTGAAAGCTCTTGTCTCTGGGTCAGGGAATACAGAATGAGGACCATTTTGAAAGATTAGGGACTTCTGGACACCTCGAATGTCAGGTGCCTTTGAGACACATCAAGAGAGCTCAGATGGGTTTTGTGGCTCTGGAGCTCTGGCAGGAATCTGGGTCATAATGCTTGGCATGATGCCTGGCAGAGAATAACTGTCAGTGCACATTTGTTGGGTGAAATGACAGACAGCTGGAGAGGGAAGGAGAGGGGGAGGGAGTGAGCACAGAGGATTGTTCTTTGTAAGGCTACTTGGACTGTGGGAGTGGATACAGTTTCTCAAAGGACAGTGTGCCAAGTGAAAAACGAAAAGAACCCAGAGTAACTCTGGGGCACATCAGTACTCAGGAGTCAGATAATGAAAGAGGAACTTGAAAAGATGACAGAGGAGGAGAAGAACTTCAAGAGAATAATATCACAGAAGCCAAGGAAATGGAAGGATTTTAAGGATATTATTAATAATATTAAATACCATACAAAGAGGCCCAATGAAATAATGATGATGAGTAGCTTACAACTTAAATTGTTCTTACTATATGGCAGGTGGTGCTTGGAGTGTTTTATATATATTAGCTCTTCAACCTAAGGGGCTTCCCTTGTGGCTCAGATGGTAAAAATCTGCCTATAATGCAGGAGACCTCGGTTCAATCCTGGGTCAGGAAGTTCCCCTGGAGAAGGAAATGGCAACTCACTCCAGTATTCATGCCTGGAGAATTCCATGGACAGAGGAGTCTGGTGGGCTACAGTCCACGGGGTTGCAAAGAGTCAGACACCACTTTCACTTCAAGTTAAATCTGTGCTATAGGTATTTTTATTCACCATTCTTCATGGGTAAGAAAAGAGAGAGATGAAATAACTTGCTTCAGGTAAGTGGCAAAGTCAATACTGAGAACCCTGGAGGTGACTGCCCCATTGATGTCCTTAGACCACTGTGATATTCTGACTTGCAAAAGCAGGGGCCAGAATGTGCCTACTAGATGTGACAGGAAGTTGGTTTTGACTCGAGAAGTGCAGTTCAGTAGCTGAACCAGGATGCTGAGGGGGGTAGGAAGTCAGAAGTACATTGGCTTCCCTTCCTGGGAACTTGGTGGTAAAGAAGAAAGAATTTGCCAAAGGAATATTGGGCAGAAGGGCTTATTTTTAGGATAGGGGAGATTTGGGGCTATTTGTGTGGTAAGATAGAGCATATTAGGAGAGAGATTGGGGGAAATACTGGAGAGATATGGCAAAAGAAGAGATGGTAAAGTGTGGGCTGTAAGCACTTCAGGAGATTTTCAGCTTAAACAGGAGCAGGGAGCACCTATTTTACAAAAGGAGAGGGTTAATAGCTGGGTGGAGATGCACGTAGGTGTTTTAGACTGAGTGAGTAGCATGCTTACCAAGTTCGTACATATTCCCCCTGCTTCTGTCTCTATGAAACAGTTACCCCCCAGCTTTTTTTTTTTTTTTAATAGCAACCCTTCCCTGAGTGGTATTTCCATCCCACTCTGCACTCATGTGAATTTTGTGGATTTCTGCTATCATTAGATTTTGTTCTCTGCTCTATGTGACCAAGGCTAGGCCAGGACTTCCCTGGCAGTCAGGTGGTGGGGACTTGGCCTTCCAATGCAGGGGTTCAGGTTCAATCCCTATTCTGGGAGCTAAGTCCCTCATGCCTCATGGCGAAAAACAAACAAGCAAACACAACCATAAAACAGAAGCGATATTGGAACAAATACAATAAATACTTTTAAAAACAGTCCACATCAAAAAAAAAAATCTTTAAAAACAAAAGCAAAGAGACTGCCACCTATTTCTCTAGCAAAGATGGGTTTATTTAGGATCAGCAGACTTGCAACCTGACGGTCTATAGCCATGATGAGCCAACCTGCACCTGCACAGCAGGGGAAGGAGAACTATTTCATAGACAGGAAATGGAGGTGGGGAGGGCTCTAGTAAACAAAGAGGAGCCTCTGGCTTTTCTTTGCCTGAGACCTTGCTAGGAAAGAAGAGGAGTCTTTCTTCTTCTGTTAGGCTCTGCTGTGCTCACAGGGCGTGAGATTTCCCCTGCAGGTCTCCCAAATCTATTTCATTAGGTTTCTGTTTATTAATTTTTCACAACTCATAGGGACAAGAGATGTTAGGAGTTGTGTCATTTGATGGTAATGATGTTTTGAGCTGACTGGATTCTTTTCCTTTCACAGATGCTTCCTGTCCAAGTCTTCCTCCAGTTACATGAGCTCCAGTAAGTCCTCTTTTTATTGTATTAAAATTATTTTACTTGAGGATAATTGCTTTACAATGTAGTGTTGATTTCTGCTGTACAACAATGTGACTCAGCTATAAGTATTCATATATGCCCTCCTTCTTTTTTTTTTTTGCTCCCTCCCTCCACTCCTGTGTGACCTTAGGCTGCCACCTCTGCCCGGCCCAGGAAGACCCATGCTTAGCCACTTCACTTCACAGACATCAGTCGAAAGCTAATATGCCCTCCTTCTTGAGCCTCACTCATAACCCCCTGTTTTTCTCACTAATAATGTCTCTTTTGCTTAAATCTCTTGTCACATGTCAGTTCAGTTCAGTCACTCCGTCGTGTCCGACTTTGTGACCCCATAGACTGTAGCACTCCAGGGTTCCTTGTCCATCGCCAGCACCCAGAGCTTACTCAAACCCATGTCCATCACGTCGGTGATGCCGTCCAACCATCTCATCCTCTGTCATCCCCTTCTCCTTCTGCCTTCAATCTTTCCCAGCATCAGGGTCTTTTGCAGTGAGTCAGTTCTTCACATCACGTGGCCAAAGTATTGGAGTTTCAGCTTCAGCATCAGTCCTTCCAATGAACACCCAGGACTGATCTCTTTTAGGATGGACTGGTTGGATCGCCTTGCAGTCTAAGGGACTCTCAAGAGTCTTCTCCAACACCACAGTTCAAAAGCATCAATTCTTTGGTGCTCAGCTTTCTTCAAAGTCCAACTCTCACATCCATACATGACCACTGGAAAAACCATAGCCTTGACTAGATATGTTGGCAAAGTAATGTCTCTGCTTTTTAATATGCTGTCTAGGTTGATCATAACCTTCCTTCCAAGGAGCAAGCATCTTTTAATTTCATGGCTGCAGTCACCATCCGCAGTGATTTTGGAGCCCCCCAAAATAAAGTCTGTCACTGTTTCCACTGTTTCCCCATCTGTTTACCATGAAGTGATGGGACCAGATGCCATGATCTTAGTTTTCTGAATGTTGAGTTGAACACCGCTTTCTCAGTCTCCTCTTTCACTTTCATCAAGAGCCTCTTTAGTTCTTCTTCACTTTCTGCCTTAAGGGTGGTATCATCTCATATCTGAGGTTATTGATATTTCTCCCGGCAATCTTGATTCCAGCTTGTGCTTCATCCAACCCGGAATTTCTCATTATATACTCTGCATATAAGTTAAGTAAGCAGGGTAACAACATACAGCCTTGACGTACTCCTTTCCCAGTTTGGAACCAGTCTGTTGTTCCATGTTCAGTTGTAACTCTTTCTTCTTCACCTGAATACAGATTTTTCAGGAGGCAGGTCAGGTGGTCTCATATTCCCATCTCTTTAATAATTTTCCAGTTTGTTGTGATTAACACAGTCAAAGGCTTTGGCATAGTCAATAAAACAGAAGTAGATGCTTTTCTGGAACTCTCTTGCTATTTCGATGATCCAGTGGATATTGGCAATTTGATCTCTGGTTTCTCTGCCTTTTGTAAATCCAGCTTGAATATCTGGAAGTTCTCGATTCAGGTACTGTTGAAGCCTGGTTTTGAGAATTTTGAGCGTTGCTTTGCTAGTGTGTGAGATGAGTGCAATTGTGCAGTAGTTTGAGCATTCTTTGGCATTGCCTTTCTTTGGGATTGGAATGAAAACTGACCTTTTCCAGTTCTGTGGCCGTTGCTGAGTTTTCCAAATTTGCTGGCATATTGAGTGCAGCACTTTCCCAGCATTATCTTTTAGGATTTGAAATAGCTCAGCTGGAATTGTATCACCTCCACTAGCTTCGTTCATAGTGATGTTTCCTACATCCCACTTAACTTCACATTCCAGGATCTTTGGTTCTAGGTGAGTGATCACACCATCATGGTTACTTGCATCGTGAAGATCTTTTTTGTATAGTTTTCTGTGTATTCTTGCCATCTCTTCTTAATATCTATGTTTCTTTTAGGTCCATACCGTTTCTGTCCTTTATTGTGCCCATCTTTGCATGAAATGTTTCCTTGGTATCTCTGATTTTCTTTAAGAGATCTCTACTCTTTCCCATTCTGTTGTTTTCCTCTATTTCTTTGCCTTGATTACTAAGGAAGACTTTCTTATCACACCTTGCTATTCTTTAGAACTCTGCATTCAAATGGGTATATCTTTTCTTTTCTCCTTTACCTTTAACTTGTCTTCTTTTCTCAGCTATTTTTAAGTCCTCCTCAGACAACCATTTTGCCTTTTTGCCTTTCTTCTTCTTGGAGTTGGTCTTGATCACTGCCTCCTGTACAATACCGTCCAATACAATACCAATACCATACCGTACAATATGTACAACTCCGTCCATAGTTCTTCAGGCACTCTGTCTATCAGGTCTAATCCCTTGAGTCTATTTGTCACTTCCACTGTGTAATTGAATGGGATTTGATTTAGGTTATACCTGAATGGTCTAGTGGTTTTCCCTACTTTCTTCAATTTTAAGTCTGAATTTGGCAATAAGGAGTTCATGATCTGAGCCATAGTCAGCTCCCGGTCTTGTTTTTGCTGACTGTATAGAGCTTCTCCATCTTTGGCTGCAAAGAATATAGTCAACCTGAATTCGGTGTTGACCATTGGTGATGCCCATGTGCAGAGTCTTCTCTTGTGTTGTTGGAAGAGGGTGTTTGCTGTGACCAGTGCGTTCTCTTGGCAAAACTCTGTTAGTCTCCCCTGTTTCGTTTTGTACTCCAAAGCCAAATTTGTCTTTTGCTCCAAGTATCTCTTGACTTCCTACTTTTGCATTCTAGTCCCCTATAATGAAAAGGACACCTTTTTTGGGTGTTAGTTCTTGTAGGTCTTCATAGAACTGTTCAACTTCAGCTTCAGCATCAGTGGTTGGGGCATAGACTGTGGTATTGAATGGTTTGCCTTGAAAATGAACAGAGATCACTCTGTCGTTTTTGAGATTGCATCCCAGTACTGCATTTCAGCCTCTTGTTTACTATGTTGGCTACTCCATTTCTTCTAAGGGATTCAAGCTGATAGTAGTAGATATAATGGTCACGTGAGGTAAATTCACCCATTCCAGTCCATTTTAGTTCACTGATTCCTAAAATGTCAATGTTAAGTCTTGCCATCTCCTGTTTGATCGCTTGTAATTTGCCTTGATTCATGGACCTAACATTTCAGGTTCCTATGCAATATTGTTCTTTATAGCATCAGACTTTACTTCCATCACTAGTCACATCCCCAGCTGGGTGTTGTTTTTGCTTTGGCTCCATCTCTTCATATACTCTACTTAGTAAAACCTCTTGAAGGAACTTGAGGAGCATGGTATAGAATAAAGATGTTTGGGATATGGGATTAGCAATAATGGGAAAACCGAATTGCCTTGCCCACAGATTCTTTACCCGCTGAGCCACATGGGAAGTTCTAGGATCCAGCTAGAGACAGATGAATCTGAGAGATATCGAAGCATTTCTGAAGCAGAAAACCATTCCTTTCATTTGAAATTGGCTTTATGTTTGTCTCCATCACCCCAACCCACTATAGAACATGGAAAATAGGGAATGTGATAAAGCTTATGAAAATTAGTTACCCTGTTTGTAATCATTGATTTTTAGTTAGGTTACCTAACTAAGAGTAGTTTTCGAGGCAAGTTTCATTGGTTTTGTCAAAAAAATAAGCACGTTGTAAGAGTGTTTAAGTTAAGGATTGTCAAAAGGCAAAATTAATGTTTGACTTACTTGGAGCTGTTCAAATGTCAGATGAAGTCTTAACCCTCAACCAAATTCTTCATTGTAGATTTTTCACACTGTTAAGGACATTTTCCCCAATTAAATCTGTGGGCAGTAATGTACTGTAGGCATCCTCTATAATTTCACACTTAAATGACTAGTTTATCAAAAATGGAATCTGACTCCAGGGCATATGGTATTCACACAGATCATCACTATGCAATTATTGTTTGTTTGCCATCCTCATAAATAAATGTTTATGATTTTGTAGAGTTTTATAGCTCATGTATTTCTTTGCTCTTGATAACTTTTCACAAATTGTGAATTTGTAATACATTTTATTTTTGACAATAAATAAGAGAACAATAATTAAGTAAAATAGACCAGTAGAATAAATAGCAAAGTAGAAATGTGCTACTCAGAGATGATTTAGTGAATAACTTCCAGTTTCACTTTGAACATAATTACATTTCAGTGAAAGAAAGTTAAGCTAGACACTTAAAAAAATTCTTTGACTTCTAGAATTGTGCTTTTGATATTCAACAAAAACTGGATGTCTCTGATGCTATGTGGGAGTGACATACACAACCTCTTTGTACTTGGAGTGTGCCTTTTTTTTTTTTTAATTGTTTTGGTGGATGTGGACCACTTTTAAAGTGTTGACTGAATGTGTCACAATATTGCTTCTGTTGTTTATGTTCTGGTGAGGCTGTGAGGCATGTAGGATCTTAATTAGGTCCCCGAATGGGTACCCCCTGTACTAGAAGGCCAAGTCTTAACCACTGGACCACCAGGGAAGTCCCTGGCAGTATGCTCTTGAGTGAATTATTTAACCTAGTTTTCTCACCTCTAAAATGGGATACTTACACTTCGTAGTGTTATCATAGGTATAATCCAAGTGACCCCAGATAAAGTCACTATAAAGTCACTTAAGCTTTTGTTATACGAGGTCCAGGTCATGGCCATTGTCCCATATTCTAAGAGAGCCCCAGGGATATTTAAATAGTTTAAAACACTTTTCCTGGAAGCCTGCAGAGATGCTGATTTAATTTAAATGTCATTTTAAAATTAAGTTTTTATTTATTGCATGCAATTGCACAGATGCCACTGTAAGCTTTAAAGAAAAGCAGTTATTCTATCCTCTGCCTGCCCCTACCCCCAATTTCCTCTCCACTGCCTTCAACTCTTTTTTAGCTTTTTTCTCCTGTTATTTCTACAGTGTGTCTATATACTACTCTTCCTTGATTTTTAATTTTTAATGTATATTTACTGAAAACACTTTAAAATAAAAATTGAAAGTTAGACCATGAT